TAGACCCAGAGTCTAGGATCCCCTCACCAGCAATCCCCAGTAGCAGTTTCAGACCACGGATCATTTCACCCCACTCCCAGAAAGGCGACCAAATATAGGCTGCAGTAATTGCCTCAGAGATACCAGTCAAAAAAGAAACAGTCACCGCTAAAAAAAATTAACCTTGCGCTAAGGCACTGATCACCTCAGACTTTGTGGTACCAAAACATCCCAAGGGGCCAAGGCACCAACACAGCAAGACCCTAGTTCGAGTGCATGAACTAAGACTAAAACATTGCTCAGCACTCATAGTACTGAAGAAAGCTGCAACATTGTCCATTTTAGTGGCATCATCTGCCATGCACATGCAGCCCTGCCTGCTCCCAGCACCTGTGGTGACCGTCCCGATACAGACCATGGCACCAAGCTGCACGGTACCACAACCACTTACTGCTCATGTGAACCCAGTTCTTTCTTTAGTACCGGGAACACCACAGTTTGGTATTAGTGGCACTTTCATCCATCCAGGGCTGCATCGAAAAGCCAGTCCAATGAGTTCCACATTACCATTCTCCTATGATAAAGAGGCAGGGAAGGAAGTGACTCTTCATTATCCTTTTCATTCCTCTCCTAAACAAACACACTCACAACAACCAATACTGGTAGCGGGGAACACCTGGCAATAGTTTCATTGGCAACTGCTTCATCTAAACTCCATTGCTGATCGAATTTCAGTAGGATGAATCGGAGGAACTCAAAGAGGCTGCAGAAGATGACCGACTATCTGCTACCCATGCCCATTTCATCATCCTCTCTAGATGAGAAAATCATGCCTCTACCACCCACCACAGGTGACAGTGTTAAGTCCTTTCAGGATCTATTCAAGAGAGTGGCAGACTTTCTCTGGTAGAACTACCAGAGACTCAACATAAACTGACAGACATACTGCAGGCATCCTTGTCAGCCATAATTGCCCTGCTAATTAACTCTGCCATTGTGGACCTGGTAAAGATAATATGGCAGACGCTGACCACTATTCTACCATCCTCCAGGTGCATGAATAAGACGTATTATGTCCTGGTCAAAGGAGTGGAGTTCCTCTTCACACACCCAACTCCTAACTCCCTAGTAGTGGAGGCAGTACATCAACTGGGTAAACAGTCCCAATACAAAGCTATCCCCATATGTTAAGGACTGGACTAGACTATACATCTTTCACTGGAAATCTTACTCTTTGGCTTCTTACAATTCCGCATTGCCAACTACTCTGCACTCTTGCCAAAATATACATAGAACATGTTTGATTAAAATAAGATTCTTTATTGAACAACTAGCAGGTGACCGGGCAAAGTCATTTTGTGTAGCTTACATTTATAGGAAAGTTCAAGAAATTAAATATATGTAATATAATTTTTTTATTAATGTACTTGCAAAAGGGAAGTAAAGAATAGTTTTAAATGTGTAGGATTTCAACTTCAAACATTATTCATTTTATTGAATACTTACCATACATAGTAAATTTTAATTAGAAAATTGTAAAGCTTCCATTATTCTTTCTGTAACTAATTTGAATAATTGTGTGATTTGTAACAGTAAACATTTTCTTTGCACTAAAATGATAGTTGAATAGGTGACTTGATTTTAATTTTGTTAGCAAATATTTTTTATGAACCCTAATCATAATAGTCATGACATTTTTCTGTTGAAAACCAAAAATAATTATTTAAACCTTTCACCCCAGCATATTCAGGTGTAAAAAGTAATACATGAAGCTAATTTAAGTGGCAGAATTGTTTATGCAAACTTTGGTATCTGAGGTAGTATGACTTGTTTTGTACAAACAAATCTACAAACTCTTTAAAATATAGTAAATTGCCAAATGATGTGTGAGATTAATACAAAGCCAAAATCACTAAGGGGCTCCCTTATAGCCAAGACAGCATACAAGCCTCTCGACTCTGCGGACATAGCAGCCCGATCATTGGCCGCATCTGTAGTCACGCGCCGCACTTCCTGGATCCACCTCTCAGGATTTCCTAAAGAAATACAAAATACGGTTGAGGATTTGCCATTTGAAGGAAAGAAACTAGACACAGAGAGCACCAGCGCCTCATTTCATACTAGAGATTCCCGTGCAACTCTAAAAACGTCATATGATCTAAGAGAAAACAGGGCCACTTCTATACACAACTTTTTCATCTGGTATCATGTATATAGCCTCAATGTGCGTATGATCAATGGCATAGCCAGAAATAACCAAGACACCAACAGACAGACACCAGATCAGCCTGCAGCATCCCAGCCTACTACGTCACAGCAGTCGTTTTGAGATATTAGTCCATGGTTTTGACACCCTTCCCTTCTCCAGAATGCCAGCCAGCCTCTTCAGAGGTTGCTTGTTACCATGTTACCCTGTCTGGCATAACATCACTTCAGACAAGTGAGTGCTGGAAATTGTCTCATAGGTTATTCTATCCCATTTATTTCAACTCCTACTCACCCAGCTGCCTCATTCCTCTTCAAGGATCCCTCCCACGAGATCTTCTTATATTATATAGTTCCTATTGGAAATAACTCATCTACAGCACTTAAGAGACATAAAAGCCATTTTGTCACAGGAACAGGATTCTATTCCCACTACTTTCTCACACGAAAAAGGAGCGAAGAATAGAGGCCTATTTTGGACTTAAGCCAGCTCAACACATTCATACAAAAACACCACTCCAAATTGGTGACTTTGGTGACAATAGTTCTGACATTACAGAAGAGAGATTGGCTCTTGTCCCTTGACCTTCAAGATACATACTTCCCCATTACAATCCACTCATAACACAGGACGGTCCTTTAATTCACTCTGGGCAATTAACATTATCAATCCCACTTGCTACCCTTTGGACTAGCCATGGCACCGAGAGAATTCTCAAAAGTTCTGGCAGTGGCTGCTCCTCACCTCTGCAAGATGGAGATTATGATTTTCCCCGATTTGCATGATTGCTTTATATATGCCTCATCTAAATAGTCAATATGGACCACCGTACACATAGTAAATGTACTCATTGCACTGGGGCACCAGATAAATCACATCTGACATCTGCACCTGACATCTGCACAACAACTGGAATTTATAAGGGCCCATTTTGATTGTCTAGAAATACAGGCAACCCCCACGTTTCAACCAGAGAATGCCTTCAGTTGCTCAGATATGACAGCTACAATTTACATAGTTCAGACATGCTAGACTACATGTGTAGCGCCTTCAGAGGTGGCAACACACTTGTTACATACCCTACAAACATTCCCTTCAAAAGTCTCTTAGGGTATGTCTACACTGCCACCCTAGTTCGAACTAGGGTGACTAATGTAGGCATTCGAATTTGCAAATGAAGCCCGGGATTTAAATATCCCGGCCTTTATTTGCATGTTCCCGGGTGCTGCCATTTTTAAATGCACTGTAGTTCAAATTACCTGCCCGCGGCTACACACGGCACGAACTAGGTAGTTCGAATTAAAGCTCCTAATTCGAATTACCATTGTTCTTCCTGCAAGGAGGTTTAACGGTAGTTCAAATTAGGAGCTTTAATTCGAACTACCTAGTCCGTGCCGCGTGTAGCCGCGGGCAGGTAGTTCAAACTACGGGGCATTTAAAAATGGTGGTGTCCAGGAACATGCAAATAAAGGCCGGGATATTTAATACTAAAAAGTTTAATACTAAAAAGTTGGATTTGCATATCTGGCGCTGCATACAGTTGATTTCTGTATTTTGTTTTTGTTGCTGCATAATTTCACAAGTATGTGCTGGTGAATGTTAACAACTGATGAATTGCACATCTTGATAAAGCTGAATATTCTTGACATAAGTTGCCCCAAAACGTAATCAGATAAACTTCTTTAAATTTTTGTATTCATTGGCCATCTGAAGTGATTTTGATTAGGTTTTCATCATCTTGCATAGAAAAGCTGACTGGCTTTCCCGTTATACTTAATGGATTTGAAATCCAGTTATTGTTGTCATTTATGGTTGGAAAATAATTCATAATGTTTGTTTATAAATCACAAAGATGATCTGCAATGTCCTGGCCAGGAAGAAGAGTACAGGAGAAAGCTTGAGGCAGAGTTGTCTGGTCCCTCCTTCCTTTGAGGGGAACTGCTCCATAGTCACCTAAAGTGGAGAACCCACAGGGACACAAGGAGAAGGAGAATAATAATAATAATCTTGTGCAGTAAGTGAGGTTCTTCAAGATGGTTGTTCCTATGGGTGCTCCCCTCTCCTCTGTTCCCCCTCCCCTCTGCTTCAGAGTTGTACTCAGTTTCTCCAGGGTAGGGAAGGAGCAGAGGGACAGTTGGTGGTGCATGCCGGTTAACCACTTGGAGCAGTTTCTGTAGGTTTGGTGCCTGCAGGATACTGCTGCTAGAAATATCCAGCTACAAGCATAAAGCACCAAGACATCTAAAATGGAGCACCCACAGGGACAACCATCTTGAAGAACCTCAGTTACTGCTCAAGATAAGTACCCTTATCTTTGGTACTGGTTGGGTTCTGAGGATTGCCCAACTAGAGATATTCAACCTGCATTAGCATTAATCCAAAGTGATATAACAGCATAGGAAGAAGCAATGCAAAGTTTCCATCCTGAACTATTTACATGCCTTCCAACCTGTAGGATCCACTTCTGAAATGATAACAGTTTATATGCCCTTTGTGTCTAAACAGCAGGGGATACCGCCTTGTGATTTAGTTATTTGTCCACTGGAAACCAAACTGACACCAATTCTTTTAAAAAGCCAGCAAACTTAGTAAAATAGTAAAAACTTTAGGTTCTTCCTGAACTGGATCTGTATTCTGTCCTGTGACTGAAAGATTGAAGATGATATGACCCACTATTAATCTCCTGATTCAGCTGGCCTGAAAACACTTTTAAAATACTCTTCCTGCCCTTTTCAGCTGTCTGCAGTATATAATTAAGACAGTGGTTCACAATTCAAATTCTTCCCTAAAAGGAATATTCACTTTGCCTCCTTAGGACTTGTGGAGAATTCGAAGCCCATGTGGTATCTGTGAAGGGTTTGATGTTCACATTATGGATGACATGATTAAGGTAAGAGAAGGATCACGTAAAGCAGCTTTCTCCAACCCTTTTAAGCACAAGATCACTTTTTCAAAATAAGGGCAATCCAGGATCTACCTCAAGCCCAAGTGCCTTGCTCTGCCTTCTTCCCCACCCCTTCTCTGAGGCCTTCCCTGCTCAACCCATTCCTCCTCCCTCGCCCATCCTCACTCGTTTGCATGGGATGTAGGAGGCGCAGGCTCTGTTCTTGGGTCAGGGGTCTGGCATGTGGGAGGGGCTCCAGGCTGAGCCTGGGGCAGAGGGTTAGGGTGCAGGACGAGATTTAAGTTGCAGGTAGTGGGAAGGAGTTTGGGTGCGTGACAGATGCAGGGCTGTGTAGGGGATCAGGCTGAGAGCTCTGGCTGGGCACCGCTTACTGCCCAGGTGCCTCATGAGATGGGGCAGTATGGCTAAGACAGGCTTACCCCTGCCCTAGCCTTGCACCACTCCACAAAGCAGCTGGCATGTCCAGCAGCAGCTCTGGGGAGAAGGGCAGGTGGGTTTCACATGCTGCCCTCCTCCCTGTCCGAAAGCACCACCCCCACTCCGTCCACTGACCGTTGTTCCCAGTTTCAATCAATGGGAGCTGTGGGAGTGGTGCCTGCAGACAAGAGCAGCATTTGGGTCCTTCTGTCCTTCCTCCCCCAGAGGTTCCAGGATGCTTCAGAAGCTTCCAGGAATGATACAGGGACAGGGTTGGGAAGAGCCTCCTTTAGCCCTACTGTGCTGCCGGACTGTTAGCAGCCGATCTCCCTGTTTGGCTACAGGAGTCTCTAGATTGAGGCCAGTTCCAGGAGGCTCCCGGCCAGTGTTCCACCCAGAGATGGAAAAAATTGGAATGAATTTTGATACGTGCACCAATATGGAGGTGCTGTGCAGATGTGTATCACCAGCAGAAACCAAACACCTACCTGTAGTATACATTTTAAAAAATGACTCTAAGGATGAATTACTCCTGTAGATGACAAGATAGGCATTTTAGAATTCACTGAATTAAATTTAAGCATAAGAGGGAAATGCAAATGATGACGTGCACAGACCAGTCAAAAACCTGAAATACCACACTCGGAAAGAAGTAGCAGCAGCACAAGTGTGTGTTGGGTTGGGAGATGAGTATGAAAGATAGAATGTGTGTGTGTGGGTGACAGATACACACAGTCTGTGAGAGTGACAGAGATTTGCATTAGGGATGTAAATACCCCTTTAAAAAGTTAACCGGTTAAACAACATAATTTTAATTGTTTAACTGGGATCCAGACAGTCGACCATGGACAGGGGGGCTGCTCTGGCCGGCTGGGATCCAGTTGCAGTGGGAGGGAGGCTATTCCCCCTTTTTCTCTCCCCTCCCGCCCCCCCAACACCAGTTAACTAGTTATCTGATAAGCATGCCGGTAAGGCTAATACTTAGTGGGTAAACAATTAACTGGTTCACTGTTTGGATCCCTAATTCACATTGCCCTTTAAGTATGCCTAGCACATTCAGACATAGGAACAGCTGCCAGTAAACTCCCTCCATCCCAAAGCCTGTTATGTCCCCCTTTCTGTGGAGATAGTATATATGGGTGGTGCAGGGTGACATCAGCACCCCCTTTTCTGCCTTAAAAAGACTGGGATTTTTCAGCTTAGAAAAGAGGAGACTAAGGGGGGTTATGATAGAGGTCTAAAAAATCATGAGTGGTGAGGAAAAGTAAATAAGGAAATGTTATTTGCTTGTTTCCATAACATAAGAACTAGGGGCCACCAAATGAAATGAATAGGTAGCAGGTTTAAAACAAACAAAAGGAAGTACTTCTTCATGCAATGCACAGTCAATCCGTGGAACACCTTGCTGGAGGATGTTGTGAAACCACGACTCTAACAGAGTTAAAAAAGAGCTAGATAAATTCATGGAGGATAGGTTCATCAATGGCTATTAGCCAGGAGGGGCAGGAATGGTGTCCCTAGCCTCTGTCAGAGTCTGGGAATGGGTGACGGGTGGGATTGCTTGATGGTTATCTGTTCTGTTTATTCCCTGTGGTGGCACCTAGTATTGGCCACTGTTGGAAGACAGGATACTGGTCTGGGTGGACCTTTGTTCTGACCCAGTATTGTTGTTATGCCTCTCTCACCCTGCCCCACAAGCAGGAGGCTCCCAGAGGCAGTTGCAAGGCAGAGGGCAGGTGAAATATGACAGTGGGGGAGAAGGCAGCGGACGTGCCAGCACTTGATAGGCTCCTGGCCAAAACAGTCTCGATCACCTGTCAGAGGCTCCAGGATCTACCAGTACATCCCAATCTGGTGGTTGTTGACCACTGTTCTAAAGTCTTTATGCAGAGGGACATTGCAGCTTACAGTTTAACTTTACAAGGAAAAGTAGCTGTAATTTAGTGGAATATCTGAGGGAACAATCTGTGTTTTACATCAGTGCATGTGATGTAACATTGTTTCATCCTAAAGTGATGCCAGTGATATTCACAGTTAGACATAAATTAATTCCTGGAAGGAAAAAAACCTGTCGATTTTTAGTCTTTTATTTCTTTTGATGTGACAGCTGTTTTGCTATCTTCAAATATTCAGAAAGCATTGTACAGTAGACTTTCGATAATCCAGCACCTTTGGAACCAAGGTGGTGCCGGATTATCGGATATGCCGGAGTATCAGGAGGTACTGCATACCCCCAACACAATCTCCCTCCCCTCCGCCAACCTTATGCTCGGGCCCCGGAGCCACCAGTACAGCCGCGCATCTCCCTCCAGGCGCTGGGGCACCTGCACTGAGCGGCCGGCTTTTCAGTGAGCTGCCTGAGACGCTGTGCATAAGCCAATCCCCCTCCCCTTCCCCGGAGCCAAACACCTCCCTCTCTGCTGTAACCCGATCCCATTCCCCCCTTCCCCACCTATGCTCAGGTCCCCGTACATCTCCCTTCAGGCACTGGGGTACGTCTGCTGAGTGGCCAGTTTTTCAATGAGCTGGCCGGGACGCCGTGCGTAACCCAATCTCCCTCCCCATCCCCAGAGCAAACATCTCCCCTCCCTGCTGTAACCTATGTGAGAGCAGCTGACCTGAGTCCGTCCCAGTTCCGTCGGGAGCGCTTGTCATTTTGATGCCAGACTATTGGGAGTGCCGGACAATTGGGTGCCGGACTAATGGAGTTTTACTGTACAGGCAGTCCCCGGGTTACGTACAAGATAGGGACTGTAGGTTTGTTCTTAAGTTGAATTTGTATGTAAGTCGGAACTGGTACATATTGTAGGGGAAACTCTAGCCAAACATTTCTCCAGAGCTCAGTTTTATTCTCCCACACCTCACTTCCCTTAGTCCTTTATTCTCAAGCTGTGGTGTCTGCTGAGAAAAGCTGCTCCGCGTCTCCCTGGTCTGCTGGGGGGGGAGGCACTAGCTTCGCGTCTCCCTGGTCTGCTGGGGGGAAGCAGCTAGTGCGGGGTTGCCTCACCCCGTTTGTAAGTAGGGATCCGATGTAAGTCGGATCCATGTAACCCGGGGACTGCCTGTGTTTGAAAATACATTTACTAATACCTATTTTGAATTAACACAGTTCATTACATTTTATGTTGGAAATCAAATCTCTAGCAAGTTTCATTAACTTCTTTTCCTCACACCCTTGTAATCAGTGCAGTTACTTAGACTAAAACACTTTCCAGGAACCAGTGATGAGACTTGGCTAGTCGTGGTTAATCCTGTGACACCGGCTTTACTGGCATGTCCCATTACCAGTAATAAGATGAGCTTGAAAAGCCTGAGGACTAATCAACTTTATTGCAAAAATTAGGTATTGTCATTTTCAAGCATTTCTGAAAGACCTCTCTAACATGACCAGTTTTAGAGACATTTCAACTGCTCTTAGAGGGGTAGTTGTGTTAGTCTGTTTCCGCAAAAACAAGGAATCCTATGGCACTTTAAAGACTAACATGTATTTATGCATAAGCTTTCATGGTTTTTCCCACAAAAGCTTATGCCCAAATAAATCTGTTAATTTCATCCACTCTAGAACGGTAGCTGTTAAATCAGAATGTTTGTGTAGGTCCCAGTAGTTGCTTAATCACAATCAGGATTTTATGAATGTATAAATTGTTGGGATATGTAAAAAAGGAATAGGGGTCTGGGATGGTGGAAAAGAGGTCAGCCACAATAGGCAATACCCTTGAACATGTTCTTTCCCTTCATTTTTGCAGCCTAGAAAAATAGATAAGCATCTGGCCGCTCTACTTTGTTGTGTCTTTTGCTTATTCTCATTGGCTCTCTATAAAATATCTTCAGGGTTAAATTTCTTGTAATCTCTGTAACCTGCTGATTTAGAAAGTTTGTGGTGTAAAAAAGTGTTGATTTAATTAGAGGGGGGTATAATTGTATTCATCACCTACTTATTAATATTCATTTTATGGGAGTTAACATTACTAAATAAGGTTTTAGGAAAAGTAGTGATAGATGTGTGAATTGAAATACTAAAGTAGATAAAAGGGTATGATTGGCACTGGGTTGTTGCCACTTGCATGTTGTGTTGAATGTCCGAGGTCAACATGTGTGGGCAATAAAGCAGTTCCGTTTACCCCATCCGCTCCTGGGTCATCTGTTTCTTCTCTAACATAAATTGCTTGGCAATACCTTATAAAATGTAGGAAGGTAGGTTTTCTAATACAGATTTTACAGTAAACAAAAGTAGGGGTAATTAATATGTGGGTCATTCTTTCTCTTATCCTCTTCCCAGAGGAGAATTTTGTTTGCCATGGAGTCTTAGAATGGTACATTTAAATTTTTTTGTGAAAATGCTGCTGAATAATGTATCTGGTAGAGAATGCTGAGTCTAAGAAGCATACCTTGTTTTTGGGACTGAAAGTGGTGAGATTTGTGATAGGAGCTGGTTCCACAACCTCAGACTGGGCTCCAAAAAAGCTCAGAAAGCTGTTTCCTATATCAAATAAACTTGTGATAGGAAGTTCCACTGTGCTTGAGAACCAGAGTTATTAACTACAGTTTTCATGCTGGACCTTTAGACATCCTGACCCAAGCCATTGAGAGTCTTAAAGATAGGGACACACATGAACTTAATTTGATATTCTATGGGAAGGAAGTGTAGAAGAGGAAGAACAGGTTTGATGTGTTCACAGTAGCCTGTGTTGCTAAAGAGACTTGTGCAGTATTCTGTATGCTAGCTGGAATCTTCTAAGTACTGAAGTCTTCATGTTTGTATATATTGTTGCAGTCTAGCTAGGAGGCACACAAGGCATACACATTATATAAGGAGTATACATGTCAAAAGCAAACTTGATTGTCTTTACCAGCCTTTTTCTCTTTCTTCAGAATTCTCTGAATTTTAGGGAGTCTAAGGAGGCAGAGCCTCACCCATTGTGGGAATATCCTTGCAAATCACTGTCTGACCCCCAAGAGGTTATGACATTTGACTTCAGACTGACTGTACCACAACAAATTCTCAGCACAGATGGCTCTGTAAATCTGTTAAGGTGAGAATTACTATAAAAATGAGTTCTTCTTTTGCTTTCACTCAAGTACTTTATTATTACAGTTAACTCTCTATGTGTAAATAGTATTAAAGGTGTTACCTGAAGTTGCAAAAGATACAAAACCTCAGAATTAGGCCTCACTGTAATCTCTTGCTGCCTTTTTTAACCTACCTCTGTGGGTAGTGATCTGTCAATTGTGTCACAAAGTAAAAGAGATTAGAACAAATTATAGGTACATTGTTTTTTAGGAAAGGGAATTGTATTTTTAAAATAGCACTTTTTATTAAGGAGGATATGAGCAAACAGGTATAAAGTATGTTATCACGAGTTAAATATTAACAGTTTGATTGAACTAATTTAATCAGGGAACATCCACACAGCAACATTAGTCCGTGTCTACACAGCAGGCAGTTATTTTGAAATAATGTCGAAATACTGTCAAGCTGGAGGACTTCTTACTCCAACTTTTGTAACCTTCATTGTATGAGGAGTAAGGGAAGTCGGAGGAAGAGTGCTGTTTTTGGAAGTAAGTGCTGTGTAGATGCTCCCAAGTTCAAAATAAGCTATTTCAAAATAAGCTACGCATAATTGATGTGGCTCAATTTGCATAGCTTATTTTGAGTTAAGCCCTGCTATGTAGACGCATGCTCAGCTCAAGATCTTGAGATTTACTTCCCCTTTCCAAATATAACCATCTAGTCTCTGGTTGGTCAGTTCTTTCTGAACCAGCACATAGTTTATCTTCCAAACTACATTCTTTGCTATATTTATCAATACTTATAAGTGCCTAGTTTACCTTTACTTAAATAATATATGCAACGTATTGTGAGATAATACCCCACACACAGAGAGAGAGTGAGAGAGTCATGGCCAGCTCCAATATAGTTTCTCTGCATTTTGTCAGATTTACAGGTCAGCAATTGAGTATACAGTTGATCAGCAATTTACAGGTCAACAATTGGCCATCCATGACTGAGCTATTCAGCTACTCAACTGATTGGGTGAATACCATACAACACAAATGTCATGTTCACAAAAAATAGAGTCATTGTTTTAAGTAAAGGTATAAAGTTATCAGAAAAGACTTATTTACCTGTTTCTTTCCAGGACTGGGAAGAGCCATGGAGCAGTTCTGTGGATGGAATATCATCTGACTGAGGATATCTCAGTCAGCACAGGACTTCTGCAGATTTCAGATGAAAAGGTTTTTTCTTAATTTCATTTAACTAGTTTTCTTTGAGAGGAAGGAAAGTGTTTATAAAATTACAATAGTGAAAAATCCACTGCTGCTGGATGCACAGTCTCATTTATCTCTTACTTGGTGCCCCTTTTTATTGGATTTAGGTGCTCACCTCACTTAATTATAATACTATGTAAGAACTATGCCAGTAGAATTGTCTATTTAAATGTGAAAAAAGTAGTTTGAAACAGAGAGGTCTGAACAAAATCCAAACACTCCTGTAGCTCTGGAGCTAAAATTCACAGCTCAACCTATCTGAGTTTGAAGTTAAGTTAATTTTGTTCTACCTAATTTTGTAAAAGCAAAGCAATTTAAGGGAAAAGATCATCCTATCTTACAACCCATTCTAAGTGGGCTGTGATCAAATAGTCTCTTATTTTTCACATTGCACTGTGCAGGACAAAAGGTTTCAGCTGGGGAAATGAATACTTTTAAATCAGAGTTGTTGACTCGAGTCCTATGACTTGAACTCGAGTCTGACTTAAGTCTCCTAGATGACTTGACTTGAGACTTGACTCGGGTTCATTGTTTGTGACTTGAGACTTGACTTGAGAGTTGCTAATTTTGTTAAATTGACTTGGTGAAAAAATTGTCTGAAAACACCGATATTGATGGCTTGTACAAAAGTGACTTGACACTTTTTAAATTAAGACTTGAGACTCGACTCGAAAGTGACTTTAGAGGCTTCACTTGACTTGGACTTGACAATGATGACTTGAAGACAACAGTGCTTTAAAATATTAAAAGATATACCTATCTCCTAGAACTGGAAGGGACCTTGAGAGGTCATCAAGTCCAGTCCCCTGCCCTCATGGCAGGACCAAGTACTATTCCTGACAGATTTGCCCAGATGGCCCCCTAAAGGATTGAACTCACAACTTTGGGTTTAGCAGGCTAATGCTCAAACCACTGAGCTATCCCTCCCCTCAAAAATCTGTGGCTCCTAAGCATGGTGGGTCTCGAACCCGCCACCCTCAATGAATGTCCTATCCCTTAAGCCACCCCACCAACCAGTATCTGTTGGGATGTATTCAATGGTGAAAGAATAGTTCATATTGATATGTGTGTTTGGACTAGAACTAGAACTGTTTTTCTTTTTTAAGAAAAATGTCTTTACTGCTCAGTGACTTGGAGTTATGAGCTTTTTTGCTTTTTTTCTATAGGGCAATTGCAAATGGAATCCGCACTGCAAACAAGCTGTCTTTTTCTTCAGTTTTGCTCTTGAACCAGAAAGTCTGACAGACCTCCCTAGTGCTATCACGTACAATATAAATTTTAACCCAAAGACAGGCGAGATTGCCATGAGTTTTAAACCATTATCATAAAGCACTATCTTTTCTTGACATTTTTCTAAGTTATAATAAATATATTGAGAGATGGTGAAGGTGTTTCCTTTCCTTCAGCAAATATTTTATTGTGATTAAGCTTTGTAATCTACCTCAAACATAACTGGTTTTGTTTTCAAAGGGCATAATTGGCAAAGAAGAGAGAAGCATCTGCTAAGTTTTGCCAGGTGGCATAATGCCGATCGGACTATACATCCATCTGTCATTGCCTGTTATAGCATGAGAACTGAAGTTCTTTAAGGTTATTTCAGGGATCTAGAGCAAATAATTTAAATCTTAAACATTAATTTAGCTTATTAAGGCGTGAACAGATTCAATACTGCTTTGACATTATTGGAAAATTAGTCAACCTGTTAATTAATCTAGTCCCTTGATAAGACAGTAAAGTTAATCTATTTACCGTACTCTTTTTTTATAGCATCTGTCTCTGTTTTATGTGGAAAATGGGATGTTTACTTCAGATTCTACCAGTAGAAATCCCATGATGGGATATGCGGGAATATTCATGAAGTAGTGCATTTAATATGGAAAGGGAAACCACTTAAAATACATAAGAGAACCTGTTCAGGTTATGACTAATGGAAAGAAAGTTGTCAATGATAAAGTACCTTATGACAACATTTAGAGTCAGCCAGTGTCCGCAGTCCATTCCGGCATTGCAGCTCTGAAGGGAGTGAGGACCCAGTAGTGGACTGAAAACTGCTGAAGACAGAAAACTAGAAGGGAGTAATGAGAATTTAGAAGATAAAGTGGAAGTGTCAAGTTGGCGGTGGTCATCTCTGTAAATAGAGATAAATTACCATTTAATCAGCAGCAGAGATAAAGCATGAAAGCTGTGTTACCAAACAAAAGAATTGCATTCAATCCTCACTCATAATGATCAGGTATGTAAGGGCCCATTTCTGACTATCTAGCCATTGTAGATATTAAACGGCATAAATTGCTGAGGAGTAGCATGTCTCTAGAACCATAACTCTTAGAGATGCGATTCCTATCACTGGTAGAAATAGTAGTAGTTGGTCGCATCAACATACTTAGATGACTAGCCAACACACAAGCCAGTTTTGTATACTAATATTAATGAGTCCGAAAAATAATACACTGCAAGTACATAACATAAAAGAACAGCTATACTGGGTCAGACCAAAGGTCCATCTAGCCTAGTATCCTGTCTCCTGACAGTGCCGTGCCAGATGCACCATAGGGAATGAACAGACAAGTAATCCTCAAGCGATCCATTCCCTGTCATTCATTCTCAGCTTCTTGCAGACAGAAACCAGAGATACCACCCTGCCCATCCTGGCTAAGAGCCATTGAGGGACCTATCCTTCATGAATTTATCTAGCTCTTTTTTTTTATACCTTCTTATAACGTACACTAGCTCGTAGCTGAGGTAACTCTGTATGCAAGAGTTGCCCCCGTTCCCTGTCAGCATCTCTGAAAAGTGACAGGAGCAACTCTACCTGGGAGTCCAGTAGAGATTGCAGGAGTCATCTTTTGAGATACATACTAGCACTTACCGTGGTACAACCAGGTTGCACACAGGAGGTGTAAAGAGCTACCTTCCTGAATGTAAGTTACACTGACCTAAGCGCTGGTGTGGACAGTACTGTCTGTGCTTGGGGAGGTGGAGCAATTATACCAATGGGAGAGCTCTTTCATGTTGACATGGAGCTTTTGCGCTAGCAGCACAGCAGCATAGTCACAGTGGAACAACTGCACTTCTCTAGTGATTCTAGTGTAGACAAGCCCTCTGTCTAGCATCGCTAGCGCCCTTTGGCACATATGCCACTGTTGGTGAGAATTTTACTTTTCTGCTTTATAGCTTTGTAATGACTGTTGCACTCAGAGGAAGCCTGGAATTATCCTAAATCTTGCAGAATATTGTGCATATTTTGGCCAGAATATTTTAAAAAATGCTTACCTTTTGTTGCTGTCAAGAGTAAGTCTCAGGTCCAACACTGGGTTCTCAAAGTACAAAAACATGCTGCACAGGTATCTATCAAACACAAGCAGTTTATTTTCTGACAGGAGAAGCGGCATCTTACATCCCTTCTGCAAGCCAGGAACCCCGTTTCGGCTATGGATGAAGTGGGAGATCATCTAGGCTTCCGAGGCGCCTAGCCCATTGGTGAGGTCCAAATTGCCATACTCTGGTGCAGCTTTAAATACAGTATCTCTACCTTGTTTGGCACTTCAGAAATTTCCAGGAGTTACTCATCTCTTGTTACAGTATGGCTCAGCTGTACTGCTTGTCCTTTGACTTTGTTTACACGATCAGTACATTTGGGTAAACAGGATTGTTGTGTTCCCGCCCTTATCTACAATTCATTCTTGCTACAATGGCATATGTTCATAGAGGCTTGCTTCTGGCTCATCAGTAGCAGAGAGGGGGATGTGGGGGAAAGGCAGGCCTCATCACTGCTGTACTTCAAATGTACAGAGTTCTTCCGCAATTAATCCCTACACCTTTAAATTCCTGAGATCATACTTAGGCTCCCAATAAGTAACCTGATATTTTTTTTAGCAGTGCAGGCTGACTAGCAGTTCCCACTGATAGCAGTTTATTGGCATTTTTCAAAATCACATCACTAAGATGCTTAACTTCAGGCCCTTACTTTTGAAAACTGGCCAGAGTATGTAGTTGAATCCGTTAGAGAGTTATTTCTAATTTCTTATACTATGTCAGGCCCAACAATCTTTTCAAAAGTACTGGTGGCTACAGTGAAATTTTTTACCCCAATTGGAAGAATTCCTCAGATGTCTGTCTTTACACTGCAAGCTTTCTGACCTCACATTTATACGAATACCTTGTAGAAACATATATTTGAATAGTTAAAGTGAGGTAGTAAAGTTTGCGGATGATACTAAACTGTTTAAGATAGTCAAGACAGCAGCCGACTGTGAAGAACTTCAAAAAGATCTCACCAAATTGATTGATTGGGCAGCAAAATGGCAAATGAAATTTAATGTGGGTAAGTGTAAAGTAATGCACATCGGGAAAAATAACCCCAACTATATGTACAGTATGATGGGGACTAATTTGGCTACGACAGATCAGGAAAGAGATCTTGGAGTTATCATGGATTGTTCTCTGAAAACTTCCACATAGTGTGCAACGGAGGTCAAAAAGGCAAATAGAATGTTAGATATTATTAAGAAAGGGATAGAAAATAAGACACAGAATATCTTACTGCCCCTGTATAAAACTATGGTACGCCCACATCTTGAATACTGTGTACAGATGTGGTCTCCTCACCTCAAAAAAGATATTTTGGCCTTGGAAAGGGTTCAGAAAAGGGCAACTAAAATGATTAGGGGTTTGGAACGGGTCCCATATGAGGAGAGGTTAAAGCGACTGGGACTTTTCAGTTTAGAAAAGAGGAGACTGAGGGGGGATATGATAGAGGTCTATAAAAACATCAGTGGTGTGGAGAGGGCGGATAAAGAAAAGTTATTTATTAGTTCCCATAATAGAAGAACTAGAGGACACCAAATGAAATTAATGGGTAGCAGGTTTAAAACTAATAAAAGAAAGTTCTTCTTCACACAGCGTGTAGTCAACCTGTGGAACTCCTTGCCAGAGGAGGCTGTGAAGGCTAGGACTATAACAGAGTTTAAAGAGAAGCTAGATAATTTCATGGAGGTTAGGTCCATAAAAGGCTATTAGCCAGGGATAGAAATGGTGTCCCTGGCCTCTGTTTGTCAGAGGCTGGAGAAGGACGGCAGGAGACAAATCGCTTGTCTTCGGTCCACCCCTTCTGGGGTACCTGGTGCTCGCCACTGTTGGCAGACAGGCTACTGGGCTATGTGGACCTTTGGTCTGACCCAGTACGGCCATTCTTATGTTCTTATCTTTAAGGCTGTCTAAAACCTTGGACTTGATTGTGGGAGTTTAATATGGATATAATGAACAGAATGCCACAGGGATTGATATTGGGGCCTATT